GAAAATATAAAGGGCAACAAAAACCTGCTTTAATAGATAGAATATTAGTAATATTTTATCTATTAAAGCAGGTTTTTGTTGCCCTTTATATTTTCATCATGCACTTCTTCTRCCATCCACTAGGGGGTGCAGCAGCACCCCCTAGTGGATGGCAGAAGAAGTGCATGATAACAACAAAAACCTGCTTTAAAAGATAAAAAATTACTAATATCTTAATATTAATGAATCATTAATGATATTAAGCTTTTTATGTTGTGAACTCACAGTTAGTTTATAAATTAGCCGAAACCATTTTACATATTTTTTTACCGTTAGGTATTTTTTTTCGTAGCCTGAATACAAACATCATTCTTACAAAAAAGAGGGGGAAAAAAATAAATGATGTTCTTCCCCCTGAAATGATAACCATCTGTGAAAACGCCAATAGACTGCCAAGAACAAAATGTCACATTGACCCATTGTCCAGCTGTGCTTTCAGATAAACAAGTCCCTCAGACTATGTGAACAAGTGAATGTCACTTTGGATTAGTATATTCCGAAWATTTTCAATCTCCTTAAAACACAATTGTGCCTCGTTTGTGTCCATGTTTTTGGCAGGTTTCAGCACAACTGGTCACCAAATGAGGACATTATCTCAGGCTGGGTTTCCTCTGTTTTCAGCCAACGGGTCTGTTGGAGGACTCTTTTTTTATTTCTGAAGAAAACAAAGGTTATACACTCATCCCAATGAGATGCAGTGTGAGTGGACATCTTTGACCCCTTTGATCTGTCACGAGAAATGAATCATTTATAGGAATCCCCCTGACCCGGTCGGTGAACAGAGAATAAAGTATTTTTTCACTAAGATAGACTGCAGTGGTGCACTGCTTGTACAGCTGCAGCTATAAGCATCATTCCTATAMAATAGCGTTATTGATTTCTTATCGGGTCAAATTTAGTTTTCCCGTTTTATGATTGGCCCGATTACAGATTCTGTTTGAGTTTCACTGAAGCAAAAATCCCTATCCTTGTAGGACGACCACAAAATATCTGTGGAAGATGTGGGAAGACGCTACGGAGTGGACCTCGTACGGGTAATGGCCCACACACACAAACACACACGCAACTTATTTAACCACACAGTTTGACTTACAGACACACAGCAAAGTCCTGCTTTAATGTCCAACATCCAGATGCAATCTAAGCTCGCCTGTACTGGAAAGCAACATCCAAACCGAGACCAAGCTTCTCTTTGGTCGACTCAGTCCCATCGCAGCGTGCTCGCCTCACCTTGACTCTTCTTCATCTCTAATCCCTCGCACACAAATATTCTTTGATGCAAAAAAATTAAATAAATAAAAAAAAATCCACTCAGTCGTATAAACAGGGGCAGATACAAACACATCACAGAGTATTTTTGCTGTGAACACATTGGTGGATGCTGCAGCGTTGCAGGTGAAGTGAAGCACATTATATCCGGTTAGGATTAGCATGAAAAATTAAAAAATTAAAAAATT